TCACAACCCAGTAACGGCATGGTTACACAACAACTTGCATGTACCATGGTCTCTTTAGATAGGTCCGTTGTGGGTCTTGAACTCCTCACTTTTGTCCCAAACACAGACAGACTGGACTCACGTCAGCCTCATCGGGCCAATAGGGATTGAGTGACGAAAAAGAGACACTCTCTTGTCTCGGCCAAATTGTTGGGCTCTACAGTCCAAACCTCGGAAGTCAGGCATCAGGCCGGGCAATGCGATGACTGGTACATCGGAAGACTGGACGCCAGTGATCACAGTCGTTCATCATTCTCTGTTGCCAAGGCCTCCGGTCGTCGGGAGCCTGGTGTGATGACATCTGCAGACCATACTCGTCGGTGCTTTGGGATTATTTCCTCATGTCAATTTGGCTTTGGCGCAATTTGGGCCATCTGTGGTGTTAGAGATTGCCCAATGCTTTACTTTGGCCTAGAATGGTAGCTGCCTCGCATCAGACGAGGTACCAAAACACACCGAAAGGCATATTTATCCCAATGTTGTGGTACTTTGTGACTCAGGCCCACTTGTTTCCCTCTTTTGGATTTACCGCTTGTCTGCAGTGGCAAAAGAGACTGTCTTCACCATTCGGCAGCTATTGCCAGTTGTGCACTGTTGCCTGAACAAGTGTCCACTTCCCTGGCCCTGGATACTGACGTTCCTCTTGTCTTGTAGCCATGGCGACAGGAGTTCGTTCAATCGACTGGCATCGAAGTCACCCTCACGTTGCCGGGCTCTGCACGGGCGACTAAGAGACTGGCCCTTCTCCAGCCACTTTTCTGTCAGACCCTTTGTCCTCCAACACCGGCACAAACGCCATCATTTTATTGGTTGCCAGGCCAACAGATCAGCCAAGGCTTGATAGGCAAAACTGGTAGTTGGCCTGGCGAGGGGTCAAAGAGTGAAGAGGGCTGCATGCTCGTCTCTGGGGCAATGTTGGCCCATCCTGGATCCAGCAGCTTAAAGCACACGGTTGCAGGAATTCCGTGTCACCATGGCATCACGGTAAATGGTCCACAATGTGGTATTCTCATGCTGTTGTTGAGGTTGGTGTCTAGAACGCAAATACAATTCATGGCATTCAGGGTTTTGCCGCAGCGACAATTCACTATTTGCGAAGTAGGAAAGTCACAGATGCTAATTTAGTGAAAATATTTTCAATATTAATTTTGTTGCTACAGTCTGCTGAATGTGATTCGAGGAGTGAAAGTTGAGTTTTTCACACAATCAGTTGAGTGATGATGTTAGTGAATGCTACTTGGACTTACACTCTCAAAAAGTTTTCCCATTCGAGTTGGACCGTCTCATCCTCAACTCTAATCGGAGTAGAATCAGGTTATGTGTGTAAAGTAATAGAAAAGTCACCACTTTGTCATACATTTATGTGAGGAGGCAGCATATATTCGCTATGAAAATCGAAAACGCTCCTCATATTCATTGTGAATAGGTGTTGAAATGATCAGTAGTTAGTGTAAAAATACACAAATATGCAATGTATTCATTGCATTTCGTCTGGCCAATTGTATTTTCCCACAATTATATGAGTAGACGTAATGTTTCCATTGACTTTCGCATAGCCTTGCTTTCACAAAAGTTATTCTTATCACGACCGGACTGAATTGCAGTACCGAACTCGCACTGGGAAAATAAGGCTATGTGAAATTCAACGGAAATGTCATGTCTACTCAAATCAGTGTGAGCAAATTCAACTACCAGTCCTCTAATCACACTAAACGAAATAGGATTAATGCTCTACTGGTAGACTGAAAAGCTTATTTAAAAACGATAAATTGGTCACATTACGGCTTATAGGGTGAACATGTGTTTAATGAAGGTTTGCAGTAACGTAACTATGCCGACAAAGTAGGTTTTTGGGACTATTATAAAAACTTGAAGACGAGTTTCATTCACACTGGGCTGCGTGAATCGATGCAGTAGATCTAGTTCAATCTTCCCAAAATCCGCTGAGCAGGCTCCACGTTTTCATTGGACTTCGATAAACCTTGCTTTAGAAAAGATATCAAACTGCCTGATAGACTAGATTTCAGTTTCAACCTCGTCTGGGTATCAGCAGCATCCTGAGCGGAAGGTGAAACCAAAAAGTGCAAAATATATTTTCGACGTGGTACCATCAGAAAACGCCGCTACAGATGCCGTCAAGTTCACTTAAGACCAGGCTTCATCTTATACCGTCATAGTAAAAATGAAGAGCATGTGGGTTTCCATGAATCTCATGAGATAATATTGTTGGGGCGAACTTCATCACGTGTGAAAGTGTACAAAACAGCAGCTGGAAGGTAGATCTCATCAGAAGAATGTGGCATCATCCAGTTGTACTGCAGCCGTTTGGCTAGAATGTGACTTTCAGGTTGATGCAGTTCAAGATACATCCTCCCTCGCTTCGGGTGAAGACGAACTGACATTTCCTCCTTCACGTGATGGATGAGATGCAATTCATTCTAGTTAAAGCCTCACGTTAGCAGCATTCGACTCGATACTACCTCTTATTTTGACAGAAATAAGCAAAAAATATTAATAGGAATAGATAGATAGATAATGGTTTGTGTGTGTGTGTGTGTGTGTGTGTGTGTGTATGTGTGTGTGTGTGTGTGTTAAAGTCTATAGGCAATACTGGTTCTAATTCAGAGGCGTAATGGTCCAAGAGAAAGTCCTGACCGAGACTGCATAAGTCCGTAAGCAAGTATGGTTGAGATGATGAGATATGTGCTTGTAGGCATGTAGATCAAGTTACGAAACTACTTGCCCTAACTTTTCAGTCTAGAGTCATTAACATTTGACCTCCCAAAGAAAGGTATGACATGTCTGATTTGGTTGATGAGCATACTCGAACATGTTGGACGAATGTGAGTAAAGTTATAAACATCACCGAGCAGACAAATTAGGTCGCCTTTTGACGACGGCTCAACAGCCTCTCTCTCTTTCAATCTATCCATCAAGCATAATTAGTTCCTACTCAACTTTCTACCTCCGTTACTCACATTCAACGTATTATTCAACGTATTTCCTAATTTCAATGGCCTCTCTTATCTTACTTTTAACAGCAGACGTACCATAATCAGCAAACCGACATGTCTAGTCTCTGGCCCCTTCTGGCCGTTCGACTCAATTCCCTTTTGTATGTAAGTAGAGTTTCGAGACTACCGGTAAATCAGTAGTATGAGATGTATTCACCAAATTTCCTTGAAGGTAGTCGAATTGAGTAGATCTGACTTTTCCAGTCCATTTCACATCGTCTTGTTTTCCCCAAAGTTGTTCTCATCACCCTGCATGTGAAATTGAATGGAAACGTCGGCTCTACTCATATCATCGTGGGCAAATTCGTCTACAAGTCCTTGATCACATTAAACTAAATTGGGTGAATGTATCACATATTCCGTTTGCAAGCATTTTTGTGTCTTCCCAATCTTTGTCGAAGGCACATCGAGCATATAGAGCCACAATCTTGCGGCAGTCGTCTCTCGAGAATGGATCATAGTTCTCTCCAAAAGATGGCATTACAGAAGAAAGTGTGAGCTTCCTTTACACCCAATTTTCTCACAAATTCGCCTCTCTTCACATCAAAATTGGCACATCACGAATTGTCTCGGCTTGTCTATCTTTGACTAAATAATCTCCGTCGGAAAGGTTATTCCTCGGTTGGGAGGTATGATTCTCAATCACGTCCAAAGGTGAATTATTTTCCCGGAATACATTTGTCGGCCGTTCCAACTCTTTAGTCAAATGGTTACTATCCTCTAATCTCACACTCCTAATAACCATTGATGGCAATTAGGCCAACTACTATGGCAGAGGAGTTCGGACAAGATGCCTTCTACTAAGTCGCCCTGACAACAAGTTCAAGTTGCGACGAGGTCAACCCACGAAAGGAGACTGCGACCATACTATCTTGGTCTTCATATCCTCGCTTAAGTCTTTCTGTTGAACCTCCCATTCACGGTATGTGTTAGTTTCATTTAAAGAAACTGGCCTTTTTACGTAGAACATGGCCCATCCTTGACTGCCACTGCTCCACCTTTGTCGGCTTTCATAATGATTAGAAGTTTATCACATAAATACCGAGAAATCCTACTACGAACACGAGTTTTCTTTAGCAGGATTGTACGGCAAAACTGAGGTATGACTTCCAACCCAATACAATTCTTCACCTCTTCCGGCAATCTATCAGATGAGCTAGTCAATTCAACAAGCATGTTCAGAGAATGTGTTGGTTTATGTCATTTGGAAGAGCACAATACAATTCTATTTTCAATTAAAGTTGCCTACCATCCTCCAGAATTAGACTGTTTTCATTGGTTACCTTATCCATACCCAGTTTGTCACAAACGTCGTTGCTACGTCTTATCTTGGGCGCAAAGTTTCTGGGCCCAATTCTAATTCTCAACTTGCTAAGTTGTCTATCGTAGATCCGCCGAGCCATTCTGTCCGCAGCTTCTCCCACCCGTCAGCTATAGCTTGTAACTAAAGGAAACCCACATCGGCCAGTAGTTGAGAAAGGGATTGGGGAGCTGATTAAAGATACGAAGAGCAAATGGATTTCGATGAGTCGCCCGAGGTAACAATACTAACGCACAAATTGTCTGTTAAACAAATGGATGGCTATTTTATCATCTGGTCTAATGGGGAGGAGAGTTCAGATAGTTTCCTGCTTTCACACAACTAGCGTGAAAAGAACATTAGGTCCAAAGTGGAACTGGGTCCTCAACTTTTTGGGATGCTTTCATGATTAGAGAAGAGGGCAAGATTGGAAGAGATGTCTACAGAAAGCCAGCAAATATTGGTTCTTTTCTTAATTTCATGTTCAATCATAGTTACAAAATTTCGAAAGCAATCATTAATGGGAATATGAGGCTATCGGATTCCAACGACTGACAAATGTATTCCTGGAAGATAATTAACCTTTGGGCATAATTGCAAATAATAACTTTTTACCGA